ATGGAACAAAAGAAAGACAGAAGTAGTGCCAGAGAATGTATGTGTCTTAGAGAGTGATAGTATAGATATAGATATAGATAGATGGACGGACGGCAACTGACAGACAGATAACCTCTGCTGATTTGATTTTGGATCATTATTTAATATAAAATGTAAATCCCCCAACTTTATTAAAGTGCAATGATAAATTAATTTAAGTGGATTTACAAATTCCTGAATAGCTGTTCTATCCAAGCTTATCTCTATGTTACTGTCACTATTTACAACGGATGTAGATCTGATCTGTCTGTCCAACCAACAGAGCATCATACGTATATGTGTATGAGGTATGAGCGGGGAATCAATCAGATGGAACACAGAGAGAAAAGAAGAGATGAATCAAAAGTGTGAAACAAGGAAGGACAGAGGGAGGAAATGATGATAGAAACTAAACAAAAGGAAGTGAAGTCTGAAAGAAGATAATTAAAAAGAAATGCATGCTGGGAGATCTCGGTGACTCCAGGTCCACTTGCTCTTCTCTTGTCTCACATCTCTCCCTCCTCACCCCGTCCTCTCTTTACCTTTGACACAACTGTCCCACGGCTCCTCTGACTTCCTGTTTCAGCCTTCGGTGTCAGTATCACGTCTCACCTTTCTGTTGTTGCTGTTTTCTGTCCTTTTCATTGTATTGTTATATTTGTGACCTTGACAGTGCCTCACTTACATTATGTGAGTTTAGTCATTTCCTTAACCGTCCCTCAGCCCTTCGTCGTTCTGCTGCTCCGGGGTACTCACTTGTAAATGACATGATAACATGATATCAGATCAGATTTAGGCTGTATAACGATGTTGCATGTTTCATCGACACATGCAAGACTGTGAAGCAGCTGCTGTGAGGAGATGCAGGTAAACAGTGAGCTGCGGTCTACACACATGTGCGTGCTTTTATGACACATGCAGCGCTTCAAATATGACATAGTTGTGTCCAAAACACCTGTGTGAATGGCAGCCATGTCTAGAATTGGACAGACAGAGAGGAAGAGGAAGTGCTGGCTCACCATGGGAGCTGGATTTTCTCACAGAGTCACTGCTGTTGACGGTTTCATGAGGGAGAGGAGCACAAACACCCTTGTGCATAAAGCATGACCCGACCCTAACATGTGATCGCTTGCTGGTCAGTCTGCAGTAGTGTGTGTGTGTGTGTGTGTGTGTGTGTGTGTGTGTGTGTGTGTGTGTGTGCGCGTGTGTGTGTGTGTGCAGGGAGGGGTCTTGGTAGAGAGAACAATGAGGACCAGATGGCCGGTCTCTTTCTCCACCTGCCTCAGGCCTCTTTGTCCTCTCTCCCCCTCTCATACATTTCACTCACTTCAATGTGTCTCACTGGTGCTCTTTAATTATTCACACATACAGTATATCTCATGTTTACTTTTGCTTTTAGCTCTTCGCCACACACAAAAACAGATTAGTTCACCTTCCACAGTTCATTTAGCTCCATCGTTCATGTTCTTGGATTTTGTGAAATGACCTCCGGCTACTTTCTATGTTCTGTTCAGTAGGTGAGGGGTAGACCTTGGGTTCAGTAGATAAAACCCTGCGGCGCTCACATGCCATCAAACAGCCCGAGCAGGGCATGAATCCAGTGGCCACACCCAGACGTGACATGTGGAAGCAGCAGCAGGCCTTGAGTAGATGCAGCTCTGACAGACGAAACATTGAGAAGGGGTGTGGTGCTGTACTGCTGTGTACAACACACGGACAAACACGTGCACAGTATTTGTGCAGCCCCTCAGCTGTAGCTGTTATAGCCACTAACACATACTTTTACTATCTGCAGTCTTATTTACTTTGTAGACATTGGGCACACCTCGGGATGTCGGGACCAACCGGTTCTGCAGTAACCGCGGTTATATGAGTCACGCTTTCATAACCTCTTTTATCCAATAGAAAAGGTGCCTTATATCGGCAACGTGTGAGGATTTAGGATATAGAAAATGACCAGGAATTCATGTGAATAATTACACAGTTTAACCATCACAGTGTGAAAAAAAGTCTGCGATCTGGAGATCGGCCTTAAAGCTTTCTAGTGCTAGTCTTAGGCTGGCAGCTATCAGCTGCTGTTATAAAGTACATTGAGTTCCATTATGATGCGTTCACGCTCCATTCAGTGAGTATTGGACAAAAGCAAATGATAACGTCATCATGTTGTGTTCAAATGTAATATTGTACAACGTAGTTTTGGTGAGAAACTTGAATAAATCCAGTCGTTAGAAGATGTTTTCACAGAAACATAGAATAGATATTAAAGAGTTATGAGCTGTTTAACTTGCTGACACTAGCTCTGAGCAGCTTATAAAACTAACAATGACTACATTTATTAACAAAAAAAACTCTTATTTTCTAATCATTTGAATTGTTTGTTTCTATGTAAATCACCACTATAGATGACTAATAACAAAGTATAGTTGATGATGATAATACATATTTAGGTCATTGACTTTTGGCCTATTATAAATATTCTGGTTAAAACCTCTTGCACACGACGCCCCCAAATGTGGGGGCTCTCGGGCTTAGGGGGGGTAGCAAATATCGTCCAAAAAAGGCCCATATTGATAGCGAATATTGTACATGTGTACATTTTATATACCGGATTAAACAGCAACGTATGGGCAACACTATCATATAAGTCACTTTTTACACACTCCAAACACAACTATACACTACTAATATAAGCAACTAGAAAATGTGGCATAAAACCACGAATTCCTGGCCAAAAATCTGCGTTATATTTACTGCGCTTCGATATTTGAACACCATGCTAACTGCTACACTGCCAATCAATACATCGCCTAGCATTAGCATTCGACGCAGAACGCATAAATGCCTTCGGTTTTTCTCTCCGTGAAACCACTACAAAGCTGTGAGCCAACAACGGCAACACAACAGTTCCCTTCACTGGAAAAAATCGTTGGTATTCGCTTACCTTTATGAAGAAATCGCAAAAATAACGGCGAAAATTATCCGGTTCAAAGCTAGAATCATTGTTGGCAACTGCATCCTGTCTGTTTCTCATCTGTTTCCTGTAGAAGGGGGGGTCAATCTAACTTGCTGGACCCGTGGGTGTGTGGTCAGACTTTTGGCGAATGGAATTTTACGCTAGGGGATGCGCGGCACTCTTTGCATCTTTACTCGCTGAAAATTCTGTCAATCAACACCCGGCTTCGACGCCCGCCTTCCTGAGACTCTGACGCGTCGAAGGCGGGCTCATTGATTGAACTCGACCGATGATAGGCTGAGCTAGAGCCCCATACACACACAGCAACTGGAATTCAGATGAGAAAATCCCATGGATGACAGCCAGAAACAGGCTCTGAGAGGACCCTGGCTCTCAAAATGATGCCAAACGGCTGTATTTGGATGTATTGAATAATATCAGTGATAAAAAAAGTGAAATATATAGTTATATAGTATATAAAAGTACAATGTAAGAGCTGCAACAGCTGGTTCCAAAATGACGACCTCTCTGTACTAAAAGGCAAGGCAAGGCAAGGCAAGTTTATTTGTATAGCACATTTCAACAACAAGGTAATTCAAAGTGCTTCACATAAAACCATTAAAAGCATCAAAACATAAGGCAAAAGAAAAGGAGATTTAAAAACAATTAAGAACATACATTGAAACAATAAAAACAGTCATTAAAACATTTTTAAAAAATTGATTAATATATTAATTGAATGCAGTTCAATTAAAGGCAGCAGCAAACAGAAAAGCCTCTTATTCTTCACTTTATCCCATCCAAACATTATTCGAGGACTACTGATCGGTTGTGCTATGATTTGGGAGAGTTTTTAGGCTCTCATTATTTCAAAAACATAATATCAATAAAAGTGCTTTTTTTTTCAGGCGAACCTGAATATTTTCAATTTGAGCTGTGTAATATCTTCATGTACTATATTAACCAGCAACATATACACAATATTTACCCATCTGAACAATCTCACAAGTGTTATCTGATTATAGCATCAGAAATTATTAAAATAGACCTTGTAGTTACAGAATTGAAGTCTCTTTAGTATGGGTATGCCATTTTCGAGCAGAGGCCTAAAAATAGGGCTGGAGTTTAATTAATAATCGGGAAAACCGTGATATTTCCCCCGACAATAATTGTGAAAATTTCATATTGTGACATCCCTAGGCACACCCAAGCACACCGATACTCACATAAACACGTGATTGCACACACACACTCACACTCACACACACCAGTCTCCTGTGCCCACTAGCTTAAAGGGGATTAAAGTCTTCTGGTTGTGAAGTTGTATTCTGGTTCTCTTAATGGCTGCCAATGTTTCAAACTCAGTTCAAAGGTCCGGCCTTCTTTTGGAGAAATAACTGAGCCAATCAGTGCTCTAAATAAATAATAATGAATAGTTCTACATGCTCTTATGTCATATGTGCTGTACATGATTACTTAGGTAATGCACTGATCCAACTTTCCACTCCAAGGCCAACTGTGATACCTGAGCTGGTGTTATCTTCAGATGTATACCAGGACCTCACTGCATGGACTTCACTGAGCCGCTGTGTCGTTCATGTGGATCGGCCATGTCATGGCCAATACCCGATAACCGGCTTAATCAGAGCAGACACAGCACTACAAATCAGGGCCTCTATATGTGGGTTATGAATCACATATATGAAACGGATAGCTCCCGACAGGCCATGTTACGTTGTGATACGCTGTGTTCGGAGATGAGCAGCTAGCGTCTTTATCGTTTACATTGTTTGTTTGTTGCCATTGTTCAGCTACTGAGAAAGTGTCCAGCGTCAGCAGGATGACTGTGAGAACTGCATGTACGAGGCTTGCCTTCATTTGTGTTGCTGAGTTTACACTGGTGACCACTTTGGTCCATAGTCTCTCTGGTGTTGAGCCCCAGCAGATGGGTTGTGAATGGTGGTTACTGTATTTCTATACAAGTGTGAGCCTGACAATGAGCATGATATGTCC